TGTCCAAGGCCTTACTAAAGTCCAGGTAGAATGTCCTTTTAATTTTAAATTATTGTTTTTCAGTAGAAAATACAGCTAGCTCTATCTTTGGCTCTATTGCATGTGACTTGTGTTTTCATCAGCTGTCAATGCACAGATACTACCAGTTTTCTATATAAAGACAGAGAAATTTCTGCATTACCATAAAGAACCTCCTTTGTAGAAAAGATCTTCATGGGCAGCTTACGTAACCTTTGCTGGGACAAGTTAAGAATGAAATGTGTCTGTTGATGTTGCTACTGTGTGGACTCTGATGATCATGTAATCAAGAGGCTGTTCTGACGTAGTGAGTGATGTTACAAATGCAGAAAGAGATTGGTCTTGTTTTCTGCTGTTAAAAGGTTATCTTTTCAGTACTACTGTTGAAAATAGTGAAATAATGCTGATACTGAGACAAGTCATAAACTGACTTCTTCAGGCATTTCAGTTTTCCAAATTTATGAGCAGTCTAGCCCTGACACATAGTGACTGTACCTGAGTCCCCAGCTGGTGCGTTTTGAATTAGCAGTCACTGTACTACTGATTCACTTTTGATTGTTATCCCAATTTCACTAGTGCTTTGTATCATTCAGCTGTGGCAGTTTCTATTAGCTTGATCCATATATTTCCATCCTGCTGATTACAATTCATTTCATTCTTTCTCCTGGTCACTAAAGAAATTAATTGTATCCAGTTTCTTGTGATCTTTTGTATGGATGCTAGAGCTGTTTAGTACAGTAAGTCTATGTATGAGTATGTAATTTTTAAAAATAAAAGTAGTGGTTTTGTCCTGCATCAAAACAGATTCAGTTGCTACAAGGCTTAGTTGCCAAATTTGACCATAGTCCACTAAGGTAGTTCTCTTCTGCATTCCTTTTTTCACTAGCCTAAATACTTCCAGCTTTCCATCTGTTACTACATCTTCATTATGTTACAGTTTAGAATTGATTCCCTTGTCCAGTGGGGATCCGGATGTGCAGTTTGTGGTCCTTCACTGGACCCGCTCCAGTATCTTCATATCTGTCTTGTGTCAGGGAGCCTGAAATGGACATAATGCTCAAGATGAGTCCAACAAGTGCTGAATAGAGGGAAAGGATTACCTTTCCTGTTACCCTAATGCAGCCTCAACATGATGATAGAGTTGTATAAATAGTATAAAGCATAAATGTAGAAGTGGTATAAAACATAAAATGATACAGTGTAGGGGCCAGAAGACTCTGAAGTGAAGGATTAGCAACAGTGTAATCTGCTTTGACAGGGAAAAACATGTAATTGTGTAACTATATCCCACACACTTTCAATCTGATGGAGTAAGTGGGGTTTTGCAGGCAGTCCTCATGGATGAGGCTGAGAAGAACCCCTCCTGGGGCAGAAGGTAGATGATGTTTGTATTCTACCTGGGGTGTGTACGTGCAGAAAGAGGCAATTTCTGAGGAAGCAAAGGCATTCCAGTTTTTAAGGTTAAATATAACCAGGTAATCGCACACAGAGTAGGAAAGGGCTATGTTTCATTTGAGGAACAGTGAAATCAACTGGTTTCCAATTTCTTTCACAGTTTCTTTCTCGGTAGCTGTGATACAAGCAAGAGCCAACGAATATCATCTGCTACCAGTAGGAAATTTCCATGCTAGTCCTTACCCTTGGCATGAGGTAAAGTTGCAACTGAGCCAGTGAGGAGGAATTAACGGGAAAAATCTAATTCAAGTTCAAAGGTAAACTTTGACTAATGATGAATAACAAGCATGAAAGTAAAAGACGTGCTTTTGCTTATGTTGTGTATCACTTCATCCTGTTTGCTTTGCTTTGCACTATTTCTACAGTGTTGGAGTCAGGGTAGAAGTATGGAGATACCTTTAGCATAATGATGTTTTGAATTCCAGCTGTTTTAATAGTTTGTCTAGCACCAACAACTCTTGAAGTACTTGCTTTAATTTTTACTTGACTTTAATGTTTATTTGATATTTGTAGAGAATATTGCCTAGATGGATGGATTTCTCTTTTTCAGGATCAAAAAAAGTAGGTACAAAATGCAGTAGGGCAGCTATATCTTTATTAGCCATGGATCTGGCCAGAAAAACTCGTATGTTGGACATTGTGTCACATTTCCCTTGAGGCAAAATGTGATCTGCTTCCTAGCGGGTGCCTACATGATCGTGCCCCCTGTAAGAGTACCCTGGTAAGATTGCCCCCCACCATTTAAAAACTCCATGAGTATTGGGCCAAATGGGCCAAACACCAGAATAGACTCAAGGCCAGTGCTTTTATCATAGCTCTCATGGGCAAAGGAAAACAAAGTGATAAACAACACAGCAAATGGCAAAAGCTGAAAGTGGCCATTAACAAATCCCTGGAGTTTGATGTACAAATCCCTGGAGTTTTCTGACCCCAGCCAGCAACTACACACTTACCAGTGGGAACAGCAAAAGCAAGAAAAAACCTTTGTGGATCAAGATAAAGGCAGTTTAATTTAAGTGAAGGAGAGAGGGGGGAAAAAAGCAAGTGGCACAAAGACAATCACTTGCCACCTCTCACAAGCAGATGGATGTCCTGCCAGTCTCTTTGCAATGGCTACTTTGGACAGAATCTACTCCAGATTTACTGCCGAGCATGACCTTTCATGGTCTGATATCCCTTTGGTCAGCTGGGGGTCAGCTGTCCTGGCTGTTCCCTCTCCCAGCCTCTTGTCCACCCCCAGCCTATTCATTGTGAGGGGCTGAGTAGGAAAGAGAGCTTTGAGGCTGTGTAAGCACTGCTTAGCAATGACTAAAATATTGATGTGTTATCAATGGTACTTTAGCCACAATTCTAGAAAATGAAGGAAGAAAATTAACTTCATCCCAACCAGACCCAGTACAGTGGAGAAACTAAATTACAGAAATGGTATTGCAAAGGCAAATAAAAGAGCAAATACTATGCTCTGTTATGTATATGGTAGTATTAGTAAGTAAGGCAAAAGAGCTCTAGGCTAGCCAACCATTTAGATACTTGCTAAACCTCAATGTATGAACAGTGACAGTGATAGGATGATTGTGCTTTGAATGAGCAGTGCCTATATTTAGCTGGATTGGAGTCTTGAAATTGCAGAATTATTTACAAGCTGCACGTAAGAAAAGTCAATAAAAATATGAAATGTTAAGAAAGGTAACAGAGCGAGTGGTCAACAGCTTCTAAGGTAAGGCAGAGATGGATGACAAATACTGTTTATTTTAATATGCTGTAACTTGAATGGTTCAGCATTTTTTGTTTATCTTTTAACAGTCTTGTTTGGGGAGGAGAGGAAAAATGTGGTTTGAGTGACTTCAGAGGGTATTCTAAAATCCTCTTTCTTTTTCTCCTTGGCAGATGGATACCTTCTAGCCAACCTGCAACTCTTACTGCTGCTGCATGTCTGGCAGCATCTCTGAATGATCACATGACTCTTGATATGGATGCAGTCCTGTCAGACTTTGTTCGGTCTACAGGGGCAGAACCAGGTCTGGCAAGAGACTTACTGGAAGGTAAGCTTTTGGGACACAACTATTTCCTATGTTTGCTGCTTACTTAGAGCAAGAACTAGTTATAAAAAGAGAACTTTGGTCTATGGAAAGAGACATTTCTTAGTATTCTGAATAGTAATTCAACTCTTGTAATAAGCTGACCATAGATCATACTAAGGTAGGTGTTTTCAACAAAAGCCTTAAAAAGTTCTTAGTGTTGGATTGCTGTAGTTTAGGTTATTAGCAGTCGTGCCTTAAAGGTATATGTGCCAGGGAGAGTGGAGGGGGCTTTAGCTGAATTTTGTAATTTTCAGCTGCCTGAAAGTGGTGGTTGTAAATGTTTCGGTTCACTGTGCAGAGCAGCTAAGTTTAGTCTGAAATGATCTTACTGTAAAGTGATGGAGGGCTTGGTGATTAATATGAACACCTGAACTTCGTGGTATGGTAATCAAATGGCTAGGTTGAAAAACATCTAAGAAGTCATATCAGAGAAATAACTCGGTCTTTTATTTTATTGTAGCTCTTTAAAGTTTATAAGCTTAGAAGTGGAAAGAGACCTTTGATATTTGAAAGTATTTTGTAATATTTGGGTTTGTTCATGTCTTCTGACATGGACTAACAACAATTATGAAGATGGAAGTTAGAAAAGAGTAGGTGATTTTTACGTAAACTGTAAGGCAGTTCTGTGGGCTTAATATGCGCACACTGGACTTTCTCCCTGAAAGTGTTTTTGTTGTGGTTTTTTGTTTGTTGTTGGTTTTTTTTTTCCAGTTGGTTGGGTTTTTTTCGCTGGGTTGTTTTTTTTTTAATCTTAAGAAATTTCTGTAAGAAATTGTGTGCTAAATCAAAGTAACTACTAAACACCCACAGCAGTCTTAAAAGTATACACCAGGGTATATGCGTCTGGTTCTTTTTGCCATATATTAGTATCCTGAAATAAATAATACTATAAACAAATTGCTTTTCTATCTAATTTTGATAAGCTAAACATGTTGAGCTTCAAGTCTCACTTTCAGTCTATGAAATTTTTATCAGTCTCTGATATTTTCTTTATCATTCAAAAGGATGCATACAGAAATGTTGTGACCGTTTAGATAGATATCTTTCTAGTGCAAAGATTGCCTTTTTGCAACTACATTGTGTATGCTGCTGTTTGTATCTTTGGCCAAGTTTGCATTAGTATTGCACAGGGAGCTTGCAGTCAAGTCTGTGCTCTGATGTTTCAAGGTTACCAATTCTAGAATTCCATGCAGTTGCTTAACTGTTAAGGAGTTCAGATTTCACAGCCTTAAAATCTTAGAGGCATTATTTTAATGGTGTGAGAACTTTGTCATGCACATCTGAAAATGGATGTGAATGCAGACTTCTAAAGCTGCATCAAAATTAAAACTGGGTTTGTTTTTCTTAGTTCTGCCTAAGAAGTTAATTTTATTTTCATGACATTGCAATGTCTATGTTTAGAAAAGCCTTATATCTGTCTAATCAGCCATTTGTTGGTGGATTAAATTGCTTAGTCTATGTTTGTCCAATGCAAAATTTGTGTTTTGTTCCTACTTTTCAAATACCACTTATTGAGTCTGAAAGGCCAGTTGTAGGTTATTTGCTATTTATGTGATACAGCTATGGGAACTGACCTGTACAGACTGGGAGAAAGTACAAGAAAGGGTGTGTGGAGGCAGAAGGTTCTTGGCACTTAACAGCACGTAGACCTACACTTTAGTAAGTCATCTGTCTTACTGTTTGAGTTTTCTTCAGTATTGTAAAGAACCTTCCTTCCATTGCAATTTAATTTAATAATTTGGTAGATTTATTAACAGCCTGTCTCTGCTGTTAAAGAAAACTTTTCAAACTTGACATTACAATCCGGTATGTCATGGGGCTGTGTTATGATTGTTTCAGTTATTTTTTAAATTAAACTATACATAAATATTTCAAAACTAAGGTCTTTCCCCAACTGTTCAATAAATAACAGTGGCAATATTTATGACTGGCTGTATTTAGTAATCCACACCATTTGTGTTAAGTAATAAGTAAGCGTAGGAAAGAATGCTAGATTTGTAGTCATGTAGACTTGTATAACTGGCGTATTGTAAAGGACAGGTTATGCAGAGGTTCCAATAACACAGAATCATTCACCTTATTACTCATATACATCTATTGAAGATATACAATCGTATGAGTAATCAAAGTTTATTCCACACTCTGATGTGCTATAGGTGCTTAGTAACTCAATTTAAGGAGAACTTAGAATGACTTTTTAGCTTTAAATTGTGAATAATCTCTCCTCTCTCTGCCTGCAGCTTTTTTTTCCCTTGCTTTCTTGCTTTTGAACATCCCAATAACTGCATGCCCACTTCTAGGATGAGAAACCAAGGTAGCTGAGATCATGAGAAAGGTGCTTTTGTGGTACTATGTACAGCTAACCCAGACGGCGTCTTATCTCTCTGGATTCAGGAGGCTCTCATCTGCCCTGCTCTGTACTAGTATAACTTTTTTCTTGTGCCTACAGTGTGCCTGCATGCCTGAGCAATAGCTGAGCGAGCTATTTCTGGGCTGAATTCTCCAGATGATCTGTCTCCACATCAGATTCTGTTTTCCATCAGAAGCTGCAGTACTCTTTGTCCACATTGTTAGTTGCTGGCAGTGTCTTGTGCATAGAACACTTCATGCTTGTTTTTGGTTGCTTCTACTCCTTGGTACCTTTCTGTACTTTTTATACCGAAGGGCTTTTCCTTTCTCTACTCAGCACTCCTTGCTTTCTTTGTCTGAATGCTGTCCTGGACCACCCAGATTACTTCCATTGTTCTGTTCAGTTGAAAGAACAGCTTTCTACCAGCCCTGCCAAAATTCTTAGCTACTGTTATGGCTGAATTATTAAAATGGGAAGCACAGTTCTTTCAGCTTGGTTATGATTACAAGACTTTACCATGTTAATCCTTGTTGTTCAGGACTCCAGATAGCTATTTATACCTTAATCTCTAATCTTGCAAAGACTTTAAAATAAACACTCAGCAGAAATTACCTTTCAAGACCCTGCACATCTACAGATAAGTGTCCTCAAATTCATGGTATCTCCAAGATATCATAAATCCTGAAGCTCTTGTTAATTACGAGTCAACCAAAGAATGATGAGCATGTCCCTATGCAAATAAAAGGACACCAAAAGCTATTTGCTGACTGTACCAGATAATAAATAAAATAGTGGTTTGGGGAGAATATACGAGCACCACATATGTCAGCAGATTACAGAGTGGAGAGAGTGACTGTGACAGTTGCTTGGCTCTCCAAGTACCATTTGACACGGGGACATGGAAACTAGATCTGACATTACACAGCGTGATGGGTCAGGAATCGGATATGCTTGAAACAGATCACTTTGTATCAAAAATGTCTGCCACAGACCTGAGATCTTGTCTCTGTGCACTTTCATTCAGGGGGAAGGAAGGCTGTGGAAGTTTGTCTCTCTTCCAAAAAAACCCCACAACAGATTTGTTCAGTCAACCTGTCTGAAAACAAGAGCATTCTCATCACTGTAAATCTTCCTCTAACAACCTTTCACGTAATTCTCTGAAACAGAGGCTTCATTTTGACCCAGCTGAATCCAAGAACACAGTGTGAACCTCTGTATCTTTTCCCAAGTTTAAAAACGCTTTTTAAAATTGCATTAAAATCTCACACGGGATCTTGTGCATCTGGACAAGATTATTGCCAATTATTTTCCCTGTATTTTCCCCTATATTTTTCCAAAATATATTACTCCCTATTTTTAAGCTTTTATTTGTTGGTATTATTATTCTGTCTTTCATGAGAAATTTAGTAGCTATAGGAAACTAGGTGGATTAAAGATAATCAGATACTTTTAAAAATGGACACAATGTGGGGCATCGAAGGGCACAGTTAATTCCATATTACTGTAAAAGTTTTTCCATTAAATGGAAGGATTCCGTATTTTCATTAGATTAGCCATAGTTTTTCAAAATAAGAATTTTAGAAAAGCAGAATATTCTGTTAGAGTCCACTTGTATGTTTAAGGTTGTAGCAGAACTCCACATCAGAATGAGGTCATCTGTTCTACTCCATCTTCCCTACCTGGGAGATCAGCTTCTGATGCTGTTTGATTATACAGGTCACCAATACCACTGTTTTGGACCTCTCTGCTTTTTATGCTCATTTTTTCCCTCTCTATTTTATTTTTTCAGTGATTTCAGTTTAGCTCTTGACTCCTGAAAATATGTAGTCAGGTTTTAATCGCATTCGTAGATAAGTTCTTCATACACCAATATTTATATGGGGCTTATATCTTATATTTTATAAGGTAATTCTGCTTAAGTGCTAGTAGTTGCATTGTTTGAAAAGAATTGTATTCAGTATTGATTTTAATAGCCAGCATTTTCTCTGGATGTGTCTGGTGGAGCACAGGAATAATTTATAAGACAATTGAATGTGAATATATGAATGGATTAAAAAAAAAGTCAGAATAAAAAGCATAAAAAAATGTATGATACTTTCAATTTACCCCCTTGATTTCAGTTAAAAAGAATAGAAATCAGGCATCTGAAACCTTTTTACTTCCAATAAAGGCCAAAAGCATGTTCTTCCCTTGTCCTGTTACCTTTTTGAAAGTAAAAGTGACTGAAAACGTTTTCATGGCTATCTGATATAAAACTCTAATATTGGACTTCTGTATTTACTAAGATGCTTACAACTATTTTGAATTAATTGTAAATTAATATTCATATATTTCAACTATGCCTCATTAGCTCTGACAATCATATGTTAGCAGATTGTACACATTTGCTATAACATTTGTTTCTTAGAAACGTTATTTTCCAGCTTCACTTTCATGTTTGGATGATTACTTCCCAAGTCTTTCATCTGTTTCATTTCATATCTCTTTGAGATACTGTTCACCACTTACTGAGGTGAGGTTTTTACCTAGTTTGTGTGCTCCCAAGAACTGAGAGCATACTTTTGTATGTTATGTAGATATACGTTATGTATGTTATCATGTTATGTATGTT